CAGGCTGGGAGCTGTAGTCCCGCGGCCGGCACCTGAGGAGGGGAGCACGTGGTTAGGGCGGGGTCCCGCGGTCACGTGATGTTTGGGTGCTGCCCGCACGGCGCAGCCGCCCCGCGACCCGCGCACTCGGGCAGGTGAGCACGGCCCCCCCTCTGCCCCTCGTGTGTGCGTGCGCGTGATTGTGATCGTGTCATGGGAACGCGGGCTGTGTGGGGCGGGGGACACTTGGGGCTTTCCCCGTGCGGAGGGTGCGTGTGATCTTGTGTGCGTGTGTGATAGTGCGTGACTGCGTGATTTTGTGTGTGATCTTGTGTCTGTGTGTAATAGTGAGTTTATGTGATAGTGCACGTGATTTTGAGTGATTGTGTGTGTGTATGTGTGTGATCTTGTGTGCGTGTGATGGTGAGTGTGTGTGTGCATGTGATAGTGGTAGCGTGTGTGATTTTATGTGCGTGTGATAGCATTATGGGAACATGGGCAGACTGGGTGTGGGTGGGGGGTGGAGCCCCTTGGGACTTTCCCACTCAGGGGTGCGCGTGTGATAGTGTCATGGGAACATGGGCTGGCTGTGTGGGTGTGAGTGGGGGGTGCTTTGGGCCTTTCCCTATGAGGGGTGCCTGCACCCTGGAGCCAGGGGTTTCCTCTGCAGAGCGGGGTTGGGTGTTCGCTCCCTGCGCTGCGGTTGTGTGTGGGTGTGCACGCGCTGGGTGTGTGTGTGTGTGTGTGTGTGTGTGTGTGTGAGGGTGCTTTCCAGCAGTGTGTTGGTGGGGGGGGTGAAGAGCTCTGGGGTCGGGGCAGGGGGCAGTGGTAGATGCCCGGGCTGGGGAGGCCTCTCTATCTGGGCAGCCCCTGGTGGGGGTGATCTGGGCGTAAGACGTCCGTGTCCTGCTGTGGGGACGCCCCAGGCTTCTGGGCTCCTCTGGTTGCTTCTTGCCCCCCTTCCTGCTACATTTCGGGGTGTTTTTAAGCCTCCTTCCAAGGGGTTGACTTTGACTGGGGTGTGCTCCCACTGGGTCCAAAGTTGGAGGTTCCCAGTTACAAACACTTGCCCCCCTGCTCAGGGTCAGACCGATGCTGCATTGGGGTCAGGAAGTAATTTAACCCCATGGTCCGACTGGTGTGGACTGGGGAGGCAAGGGGATTGCTTTCCAATTGAGCAGGGGCCACGGCCTCTCCGGGGATTTCTTAAGCATCTATTAACAACCTGTTACAGAAGCTGGACGCTTGCCGCTGTGGTCCCCCTGCTTTACTTGTGGCAGGTTCAGGTCCTGCGTCTTGTTGTGTCAGGGTTGACATCAGTTTTGCTAGGAGTTTGGATTGTGCATTTGTACAGGTCGGTTTGGATTGGGATGATCCTGCCTCAGGCAGGGGGTTGGGCTAGATCACCTCTGTAGGTCCCTTCCAGGCCCCCCCATGCACATGTATGGGAAATGGGGAGCTATCTTTCCTACAGAGGTGAGGGGTGTGTGAATCTGGGAGCCACCGTCTTCTGCCCAAAGGGTTATGAATGTGGGGAGTGTGCGTGCGACAGCGGTGGGTCTGCTGAAGAGACGGAGTGGGTACTTCTCACCAACGGAGCCACAGAAGAGGGTACCTGGCCAGGGACAAAGATGTCCCTGGGGAGCTGGGGAGGACGTTTGTGTCCTGACTTGAGCTCCCTTCGACTGCTCTTTGCAGCAGGAGAGAGCTGGCATGAGGGTCCAGGGCAGTGGTTCTCGGCCTTTTTAGACTCGAGGGCCCACTCGTTAGACTCCAGGCACCTCCCCGTAACTTTTGTGAATGGAGCAGCACCCTGTTTAAAAAGCAGACTTCTTGATTACAGTGCTGACCTACCTGAAGTGGGGGCACGGACCTGCCAGGCACGTTGAGTCTCAGCCGGCCCTTATCTGCTTATCTCCTTACACTTCTTGTGGCACCCTTCAGAGGATCTTGTGGTCTAAGACTCAAAAGGCTGCTCCATGTGGAGGGGATTCCTGTGCAGACCGGAGCAGTCTCGCTAGCCTGTGTATGCAGGGAGGATGAGGGGAGATGTCACAGGATGAATACCTGTAGGATCCTCTGGTATGATGCACACATAGTTGGGTCAGCTTCTTGGGCTCGTAATGTAGTGCCCCTGTAGAGAGTGGGCAGTGCATGTGTCAGTGACGCCTTCTTGGGGTGCAACTGGCCACATCTAAGAGAGAAAAACTTTACTTTCAACTTCTAGGGGGCACTTCCATCTGTATGTACTAATCAGTGAGCTCCTTTCTCTCTTACCTTTCCACATGACAGTCTTCCCAGGCTACCACCTGCATGAGCTGGCTCATAATGGGTTTGGGGAAATGTTTGGTGTTCCCCCAGAGTAACTGAACATTTATTTTTCTCCTACCTGAAAATATCATCTACCATGGCATGTTCTAGGCCTGTTTCTCACGCAGTCACAGCTCGGATGTAGCAGCTTCTGATGGTATTCAGTCCCAGCCCTCTTATTATTTAAATAAAAAGTTTTCCTTGCTTATAATGTTAGTTGTGGATTATGCAGTGATAATATCCAGCATCTGATATCACAAGGCATGTTTTTGAGGTACCATTTACTGACAATAACTGAGCCAATATGAAATCTTTTTAGTAATGCTTGTAGCAAATGTGGTATTTATTCAAATCTAAGATGAGTTTGTTCCCCCCCCCCCCC